TTTGCCTAGTTTCAAATGAACAAGATCCCGCATCAGTTGTGTCAAAATCAAGCTGCAAAGACAAGCAAAGAGGTCCTACCTAATCTAAGTTGTCATCACTCTATTTTTTAAAAACACACACACACACACATAGCCATTTGCACCTTAATTTGGCATCATTATGAGTCATAAGAAAGATGGAGAGATAGTATATGCCATAAGTTTGAGCATTATAAACATAGATTTGAATCTGGAAGGCAATGATGAAACTTTGATATTTTGGAATATTTAGATGTGGTGGTGCTTTGTGGGGTGAAAGGGTGTGATGGGTGGGTGGGTAATTGAGCAGCACCCTTAGGGAGAGTACCGGGTGTTCAAATTTTGAATCAGGAATCCATTTTTAAGGGTAGGTAGATGAAGAAGAATCATCCAACCTTTTTTCACTATTGGGCCACGTGGGAGTGACACATATATATAAATTTGTGTGTGTGTGTGTGAATCAACAACATCATCATAATCCAAAGTCATAATCCCATCCCCAACTACCCAACTTGACACATGGTTGGCAAAAATATATATAGATATATGTTTGTGTGTGTGTGTGTGTGTGAGAGAGAGAGAGAGAGAAGGAGTCGGAGAGAATCTAGTACACATTTGAATAACGACAAGAGAAACAAAATCTTCACTAAGTACCAGTTTTAAATTTACTTGTTTATTAATCACGATAAAGCTTACACTTTTTAGTTTTTTTTAGTCTTTGGGAAGTCCAATTTACCAGCTTAAACAATGCTTTTGTTATGCCTAACCCTCATTTAGTGAAACCCCCACACATACTTTTCTTTAGTTAAGCGACGAATACTTGCTTTTTACTAGCAAGCCATTTTATCTTTTTCTTTTGTAAATAGTGAGGTATTGTATCTTTTTAGTTGTAAATTCAGATATTTTAAATTCAAATTTTGATAATTTCTTAAAATCAAGTTATGAGAGATTTATCCTTCATGAATACCCTAATTTCGACGTTGATGACTTATCTTTGATCGAATCAAAAAAGAGATTAATCGAGATGCGCGTAAATTGACTTGAACATTCATAGTCTTGACGTTGCAGTTTGTGATGCACACATTATTGTTTTTAGACTAAATCTATATATAATAAGTGTCAGCCCATATTAATAAAACACATAATATTTTATTTTTCACAAATTACCCAGAAGCATATAAATATTAATAATATTTTATTTTGATCTACACTGACGAAATATGATTTAAACATCGAAAAATCTTAGATCGACACCAAATAGATGCCCAAATTATTTTCAAAATTTATCGTTTTAATCTATTTTGTTGATCTCCCAAAGTCTTTCGGCCAACAACGAAGCTATTATTTTCTAAATTTTTTGGGCAACTGCCTTTAGATTCCTAGATGAGAACCAACTTTTTCTATGTACGAATTTAACAATAACAATTTTTTTTTTGGGGGGTTAGGGGTGTTAATTAGAAAAATAGATGAGGGAGAGACACTACTGGCTGACACGTGGAGAATGTTTTTGACTTTTTTTTTGGGGAGTTAGAGATAGAAGAGGAGGAGGTGGTGGGGGGTTGTTTTTTTGACTTTTGAGGTTTCTGCGAAGTGTACAAAGGGTCTCCGCCGTAACAAGAACGGACCTAGGACGGTGTCTTTGAATATTGGAAGGACGACAAATATCAAGGTTTTGACTTATGGGGTAATGTGATGTTCATGTATATTTCTTTTTATATACATGTGTGTTTTTTCTTTATTTATACAATAGTAATAATTTTATGTCTAAATATATTCTATATATAATAAGATAATTTATAATTTAAAATTCAAAAGATAAACAAAATACATTTTGTTATTCGCGATTGAGATCACTTTAAAATTAATCTAACGACTAATATTAATACCTTAAATTTAATAGAAAAAATAGGTATGAAATAGTGTGTTTGAAGTGACTTTTTAAAAATACTTCTAAAAATTATTTCTAATAAATATATTTTTTTAAAAATAGTGTTTGAAACCGCTTCACTACTACCTCTACCACCACCACCACCGCCGTCACTACTATCACTGTCACCGCCACCATTATCACCCCCACCACCGTCGCCACCACCACCATCACCACCGCCATTGCCACCGCCACCGCCACCACCACCACCACCATCACCACCATCGTTGTCGCCTCCTTCGCCGCCACCACTGTCATTACCACTCACCACAACCATCACCGTCTCCTACCACCACCATTACCGTCCACCACCTCTCACCTCTCACCTCTCACCTCTCACCTCTCACCTCTCGCCTTTCGCCTCTCACTACAAAGTTTAAATTCCTTTATCTATTTTTTATGTTTGTGATTTGATTTTTGATACAAATACATATACATTTATTGTTTATCAATTTGATTATTCTATTCTTTTAGACACATGTAATAACTAATATTCTATAATATCAAAAATTAAATATACATTGTATAATATTTATATTTTTGATAATAATTTATTTATTTATTTTTAATTATGTAATTTAAAAGTAGACTGGACATAGAGAAATAAGAGAGAAGAAGAAGACAGAGAAGAGAGATATATGTGGGATTATTATTTTTTTGTGGGGAGGGGGGAGGGGAAGGGTGTGGTAGTTGAGTTATTTGACATTGAGAGTGGTACAGAGAAGATAATATTTTTTGAAATTTTTTTTTAAAATAAATTTTATATGAATAGATAAAATTATATAAAAATTAGATTAATCTAACAGAGACATATATAACGATTAAATGGATGCAATTAAAGAGTTTAGGGGTTCAATTGAAATATAAAAAAGTTTAAGGACTTAATTAATACAAATATAATAGTTTGAAAGCCATAAATGTAATTTACTCTAGATTTTTTGCTAGTGATGAAGCCAAAAAATTGATGGGTTGAGAGGTTTTTGTTAAATTTTTGAAGTGCAATCGTAGCGTATTAGACAGGTTGAGTAGTTACTACACATTCAACTTAAAATTATAATTATAGTGGATTAGATTGCGGTACCACGTGATATTGATGACATGGTGTCTCCGTTATTTTGAATATTTATTTGTTTTTATGACCTGGAACTCTCGTGACCATGCGACGTTAGTTTTTTGATCATTCGATATTGGCTCTTCCTATCATTGTAAAGTAGAATTCATCAAGTGTTGGATTGTTCACCCAACAATAGAGAGCGGGGTTTAAACTGTTGTAAGAACGATTAGTTTTACCCTACTGTCTCAATAGTAATTCAACTTAGTATGATACCTTTATACCCTACCAAACAATTTGTAAATAGAAATTTCCTGAAAAAATACTGTTCAATTACACAAAAGAGAAACAAAAACAGTCCCACAAGCCGAGAATCATGTTAAAAGCAAGCAAATCCTGTCCTAGTGCATGAATATCCGGAAACAAACACTAACATACCTGCTTGATAATCCCACCATATCCGTTCACGGATTCAATTCTCTTGGCCTATTATCACAATCAGCCCTTTGTTATACAGGGGAAAATAAGTACAATGATCATTTTTGTACTATTAATTGCCCACAACTAAGGTTGGTAAATATTCCGAGTTACTTGAATTTAGCTCGTTTTGAGTTCGCTTCAAACTTGTTTGTTTAGAAAACGAATTGAATTTGAATATTTTTTAAAACTTGTTTAAAAAATAAGTCTTATATTGGTTCGAGCTCGCAAAGTTCGTTTTATTTATATGTAAAATAATCGAGTTACCCGAACTCGGCTTCAATTTGACTTGTTTTATGTTTGACTTAAGCTTATACGTTTAGAAAGTGAGTCGAACTTGAATATATTTTTTAGATTTGTTTAGAAACAGATTTTATAAAATTGTCTCGAACTCATAAAATTCGGCTCATTTATGTGTAAAATAGTCAAATTATTCGGACTCAGCTCGTTTTAAGCTTGGGTCAAACTCGTTCTGTTAAAAAATGAACTGAGATTAAACAATTTTTTTAAACACCTTTTCAAAAAATCAAATTCTTCGAGCTTGGATTCAAACTCGTTCGGCTGGCTCCTTTACCACCCATACCCAGAATAATGTGCCCAACTTTGAGTTCTTGTGGCACTTCAAAACTAGCTGCAAATTTTACACACACACACAGACAAACATACGTACATATATTGCCAGAACTGAAGAACAATTCAATGCACACTCAAATAAAATTGGAGTACGATAATAAAGTATAAGGGCAAAATTGGAAAGTAATAATGGTGGCCGACATTTTTCTTTGGGGCCCGTTTGGTTCGTCGGGTAGAGTGGGATGGTATTGGAGTGTTTAATCCAACCCACTTCTTCCCAATGCAAAGTAGAAATTTGGAAATGACTTATTTTGGGTAAAATCGTGGGTCCCATGGATAAATTCGCGTGATTTAAACTAATTTGGTGGTCATTTTACCATCATGTGCCCAAAATTATTATGATTCAATTAATCTAGTGGGATATCCGTAAATTGGTTGGTTAATCTAGTTAGAGGCCGTTTTAGTAGGATTGATAATCAAACGAACCCTTATTTTTTTAAATGAACTTAAAAAAATTGTTTAAAGAGCCAAATCTGAACGAACTTAAAACGAGCTGAATTTGAGTTGATTTATTTTATGAGCCCCACTACGTGTTTAATCCAATCCACATGTCTTTGAATATCCAAGTAAAAATTAAAAAATTCAAGAAAGATAAATTTATCATGATCTATTCCTAAGGAAGTTGTCGAGTTTCGATCTCAGTGTGTTTACATTCTTACATTATTATCTCATTGATATGGTGTAATATGAAAATTTTAATTTCTTAAGGTATAAATTTAAAATTGGAGAATTTTTTAGGGTACAGAATATAAATTGTCATTTATCCGAAAATGTGTTGGTGCAAATATGGATCGGACAGGATTTGACTAATGTACTGTTGACCTCTAAGAGAACGGCTTCCGTCACGGCTATAAATACGGGCTAATTCTCTCTTAGTCTTCAAAAGTATCGCACTCTCTCTCTCTCTCTCTCTCCTGTGTACCACTGAGTTTAAATGGTTGCGTGAAGGAGAAGTCTGGTATCTTGGTGTTTTTTCTTGAGAGATTACACATCTTACACTTATAAACAGTTGTTGTATGTCTTCTTGAGAATGGCAAAGAAAGATCAGATCCACCAAAATCAGAAAGAGAAAGAGAGAGTTCAAGCTGTACTTGACCTCCTCAGGAAACAAGCTCCACTTACTCTCAAACAGGTTGATTTCTCTATCTCAAGCTGTCAGACCACTGTGTATATAACTATATATATACATGTTCACACTATCTGTTTCTGTATTTGCAGTTCAGATCTTGTTCATCTCATAGTTCATCGTTTTTATTCCTACCCACTAGGATTTGATACTTTTACTAGCACCTTTGTTGCTGTTGACTGTTGAGCCAAAACATTTTCTGGGTTTTGTGCTTTTTGTTTTTGTGTGTGTGTGTGTGTGTGTGTGTGTGTGTGTGAGAGAGAGAGAGAGAGAGAGAGAGAGAGAGAGAGAGTTTTGAGTTTGTGTGTGTGGTTCCAGTTTCTGAAGGGTGATGTTCTTGACAGGAGAAGTTCTGCAACTATGCTTGTGTTGAGAGGTTTCTGAAAGCCAAAGGTGATAGTGTGAAGAAAGCTGCAAAACAACTCCGAGCTTGTCTCACATGGAGAGAGAGTATTGGCACTGGTACTAAATATCACATTTTCTCTCTCATATCTCTCCCTCATTTGCAAAAAGAGTTTCAAATTCATATAAAACAATTTCCTTTTTGGCTTCTATTCTCCTCTTCTATCTTTATTTTTTAAGTTGTGTTAGAATAGAATCTTGTGCTTTTCTTCTTTAAATTAAACCCTTAAAGTACTCAAAAACTTGTTATCCGAAAAGAACAAAAAGATTGAAATCAGTACTGTTTTTCATGTGCTTTCAATACAGACCATTTGATAGCTGATGAGTTCTCTGCTGAGCTCGCCGAAGGCCTTGCCTACGTTGCCGGCCAGGATGATGAATCCAGACCCGTCATAGTAACTCCCTCTCTTTCTCTCATACACAAACACTCCTCTTTCTTTATCTTTTTTTTGTCACCTGCAAAGTTAACCTCAACGTTCTATACTTTTCTACAGATTTTTAGAATGAAGCAGGACTACCAAAAATTCCATTCACAGAAACTGTGAGTTTACATTGTGTTTCAGTGTTTTATATGAATTTTTTGGTTATTTGTGGGATTAAATGGTTTTTTATATATATATTTTTTACAGGTTTACTCGTTTGCTAGTGTTTACACTGGAAGTGGCAATTCAAACAATGCATAGAAATGTTGAACAGTTTGTTCTTCTCTTCGATGCAAGTAAGTTTGCTTCAAAATGACAAAATTGCCCATATTCTATTCATTGTAGAGTTTTGAGTGTAGGGTAGATTAGTCATTTCAACTCCTCCTCTCTCTCTCCAAATCTGGTTACAGCTTTTTCTCTCGGTTGAGAGCAGCAATTAATGTACATTCCGTTCTGGCGACAACCCAGACATTTATTATTTATATCCAGTCTGAAATATTCCCCAAAACCCTACTTTCGAGCACTGTATAGCTAGTGTAGCCCCTCCCTTTAATCTTCAAAGCCACGCCTAATCACTTCCTAATTAATTAACTAATCAAATATATTTGGTAGTGGTGATAATTGTTCTTTTTTTTTTTTTATTTATTTTTTACCAAATCTCCCATCATATATTTGTAAAAACCCATTTATAAACAGTTGATCTTATTCTAATTCACAGCGAGTAATTTGCATATTCCCTAAATTGAGATAAAGGGTATTTTTTTTTGAATAGTATTTATATGAAAAAAGTGGGTAAAATTCAAACTCGTGATCTTTTAAATTTAATTACGGGAGAGTTGGCCATTAGGCCACAATTAAATCCTCAAATAAAGGGTATTGAAACACTCCAAATTCCAAAGTTTTTGACAACACCTGTGTGCGAGAACCGGCAAGGTATGAAACATCATCAGACATTGCCCGGAGTGCCCTTGTGATGCCGTGGTCACGGACTCAAGGTTGTTGAATATAGGGTCATTATCATACACAAAAGTGCCCAGAATTCTACTTTTTTTTGTCCCACGGATAACCCACAAGGCTACAGTATAATTTGAATTTGTGTAGCTTTTTTGTGGAATTGATTGTTTGGTAATTATAATTGTTGGGTTTGGGTTGGGTTGGGTTGGTGCTTGTTGACTGAATAAGATGATTGGGTGGTGGGAATTGCAGGCTTTTTCAGGTCAGCATCAGCTTTTATGAACATATTGCTCGCAACAATGAAGATCATTTCCGACTTCTATCCAGGCCGGATTCACAGGGCCTTTGTCATTGACCCTCCTTCTCTCTTCTCTTATCTCTGGAAGGTATTCAACTTAGCCTCCTTTTTTGTTTTCTTGTTTCTTTTGAAAAATTGCTAGGTTGGTCCCCTCTGTCTTTTATGTTTGGGGGTAATTATACTAGAGCTCGTTAAAGAATAAAATTTGTTTAATTTTAGTCCTTAATATTTTAATTATATCATTTTAATTTTTAAAGTGTTAAATATGTTTTTACGCGGTCCATAACATCCAGATTGTTAGTAATTTTTTATCAGAAGCTTATCACGTGATACTTAAATATGAGTAAAAAATAATTTGAGGAACTCTTGAGCAACATTTAGATAGCTTTTCACCAAAAATGTGTAATTTGGGTAGTTCTTTGACCAAAAATTGGATTAAAATTTGGTCAAGAGTTATCCAACTTATTTTTTTGCTCATATTTAAGTATTATGTGACAAATTTCTGATAAAAAACTGTTAGTTATTTGGATGTTGTCTGCTTGAAGGACCACATAAAAATATATTTAATACTTCAAGCACTAAAATAATACAATTGAAATATTAGAAATCAAAATAAAAAAAAAACCCCATGCTGTATACATTTCCGGTGCAATTAACCTTTTATGTTTTGAATAGGATCCCTAACAAATACCTATAACATAGCTTTTTCAACTCTTAATTGGTCCCTTCCCCACTTAGAAGATTCTAGCCCCACTTTGCTCAAGGGGAGATTAAGATCTTTTCCAATATATTTTTTTTTGACCTTTTTCAACCGTAAATTACACATATATGTATTTATGGGAGACCCGTTTATAGATTATACGTGAATACAAGAAAAATGAGTTACAATTAAGAGAAATCAAGGAATAATAAGCTGTGAAAAATCTAAATCTAAATCTAAATCCAAGCTTGAATGGTTATCTCAATTCGGTGTTTGCGTTATATGAACGGGTTAAAAAAACATGTAATTGAGACAATTTCTTCAAATAAAAACGCTTTTCAGTAAAACCTAACTTGTTTTGACGTATTTTAATGTTTCTGTTTTCTAAATATTGCATGTCACTGTTTTTGGTTGCAGGGTGTTAAGCCATTTGTTGAGCTATCACCATTGACCATGGTGGTATCTTCACTTGACTTCGAAGACTCACTAGACTTCAACGACTTCACATCTTATCCACAACGAGCCTCATCCCTTCGATTCGATCCGTCGTCAGTTCAATCAACGGCCAAGATTGGCTCATGCTCTTCGTCAAGATTTTCCTTCACCGTCTCACACCACTTTGACTCTCTCAAGCCTTGGCACCTCACATTAACTGATTCCTCCTCAGCATCTAAAGTAGGCCCCACCATTCCCTCTTCGACCCTCCTGGGTCCAGCTCTGATCTCACCCGTCAATGCCCGGTCCCTCTCGTTTGCATCACCGGTCGCTAGGACTCCACGTGGCAACATCAGCACCGTCAGAAAAGGATTCTTCCCATCCACACCATTGCCACAGAAGACTCAAAAATTGGACACCTCAAGCATCAACTTTCCAAGGACTCCAAGACCTTCATTCCTTCAATCACCAGCCTTGTTCTTCAGGAAGGAGTGCCACGTCAGCAGGGCTGACAAGTGTCGAGAATCGTTTGTCCCATTTTTGAAGTTCTACCGTAGGCCGTACGATGAGATGACTTATAGGTCAAAGATGAGACCCCCACTAGGTGGCCTCATCTCCATCGTCTCTCCCCATCTCAAGAGTCGCCACATGTCAATCTCCCAACGGTTTTGATCGTGAGAAAAGTACATAATATTGTATTGTTGACGACTTTGTCATTAATAATTGATTAATTATTTCTTAATTCCAATGTCAAAGGATATTAATGGTGCCCCTCGGTACATTGATTTTTCATTGGCAATGCCACGAGATTATATAAAAAAATAGACTACGTGCTAAAAGGGATGTGAAATGGTGTGCAATGTGTCTCATTTTTTTGTGCTATGTGGTCTACGTTTTTGAGTTGTGGAAGAACACTGCATGGGAACAAGATAGCGTGGTCAAGACGGTGAACATTGCCTTGGAAATCATTTATGTGCTATAAGTAATCTTAAATGAAGCCCAAAGTCTAATGTTTCGATTCAACACGAGCCCCCTTGTCACACAATGATATTTTACGTCCTTCTCCATGCATATAGCTAGGGATCCAGCCTCGTGAGGAACATATAGGAATGGAAACAGAATTGTCGGGTTAGGGTGAACTTAAAAACTAAGAAAAAAGAGAAGAAATATTTGAACAAAAAGAGATTCAAAAATGGATGAATTGGGTCAAAGAATTGGATAAGGAGATTCAATCACCGGAGAACAAGACTTTAGGAAATGAAGTACCCAAAAACAAATGTTTCAATTGAGCCTTATTATTTCTATAGTGGTTATGGAATTTGAAGTTGTTGGGTGTTGTTGGAGGGGTTGTAGAATATTAGATTTTGTAGGTTGGACTTTGTAATGTCCATAATAAAAAGGTAGATCAAAGTTTGAAATCTCTCATTTTTGTATGCTTGTTTTTGTATTAGTTGGTCAGTTATATACATTTTTTTATGTGTTGGTTTGAACAATGAGAGTGGTAGGAATATGTGTGTGTGTTCTTGTATGAGAAAGTCAAAGTGGAGCTTCTGAGAATTGATTGTGTTGTTCTAGTCTGGCCGTGTGGTTGTGTATTGGAATTTTAAACATTCACATGTACATACATAAATACGTAGATATATGTCTATTTTGCCTCAAAATCGTATTTCAAGATGTAAACTTGGATATACACATTTGTTAAGAGTGTATGAATCTAATCTTCAAGTGTTTGAAACTAGAACACGTTTATTTGCCAAACTTGTTTAATAGGTGGATTGAATTGAATCTGGCCAGGGGTGGCCGAGACATTTTAGGGCATAAAGCGGAAACGATAAATGAAGCTTTTTTATTTTTAATATTAATAATAAATTTGATTTTTAATTTTTTTAATTATAAAAATATTAATTAAAATTTTATATTCAAGTTTTTATTAACATATTAGTACTTAATGGTAAGAGAGAGAAAAAATGATTGAAAAATTATGATGGTAAGTTTAAACTTGACTTTTTTGAGAGTTAAAACTAAATTTTTTAATAACTTTAGTTTTACAGTTAGTTTTTTTTAATTTTAAAAAATAAATTTTAGGGCCTTTTAATTTTACGGTTGAAATAATAGGCACAATCTATTTAAGTTGAAATATTTTGTTTAGGCATGAAATTAAATTTTTTGTTTAAATTATTACTGTATACCTCTAAATTATAGGTCTTCCTTGGAGTGAGGCCTTAAATTTTATTTTGATTGGACTTGTATTTTTATAAGATTTTTTTTATAGGACTTAAAATATTTATAGATTTAATTTTTTTATATATACTATTTATGATTAAAAATTTGGGGTTTCTTTAAAAATGGGGGCCTAAAACTCAAATTTTTTTGATAACACTGTTGAGCAGCCCCTGAATCCGGCTTAACTATTACGTGAACTCAACTAAATCCGATTGATAGACAATACAAACTTGATACGAATGAACTTCGCAATAGTTGATCAGAAATGAATTTGTTACATAAAAACAAAAACAAAAAAAATATAAAATCAAAAAGTGGAGTATCTGAGAACTGATGATGTACTCTTCTAATCTGACTGTGAGCTGGTGTATTGGAAATTGAAACAATCCACACCCACACCCACACACACACACACACAGATATATCTATATTGTCGTGTATTCATGTGTCCTTATGTAATCAAGGTTGTGTGACTTAGGGCTGACGTTGGTGTCTGTTATTCAGCTGTTGTTTCTTTCACTTGTGTGAGATTTTGGGTTGGATGTGGACAAATGCTGTGTTTGTGATGGCATTGGTTTGTGTTTGGAGTCTATGCTTTGTTGCTTATGGGTTTAAAAGAGTCTCTTTCACCAACTTTTTTTTTTATAGTTTTTTGAGAGGAATCATGAACTGGGGAAGTGATGAATCAGGAATTGTCATGTACATCTGAACTGCAAGATCTTGTAATGTACACCCAGGATGCCCAGACAATTAGAAACATCCAAAACTAGTCAAATTTAGAAGGGTTAAGTACCATGTATGTCATTAGGTTTTATTCATTGATGTAATCCATCTTTATCATTTCATTGATGATAAATTACCATCCAGTTTCAGATAATAATAATGAATTACGTGAACAATTAATTTTGATAATAATGTTCAAATGTAATTCATCTTCTTCAAAATATCGATACAATCCATTTAAGGATAGTTCAAGTGATAACAATAACGAATTATAAAAGTAAACATCTTGAATTTGAATCTTGACAATCCCTTAAGGTTAAGTTATGATGAATTTATCTCTCATGAATACCCTAATTTCGACGTGAATAATTTGTTTTCAACCAAAGATGAAAGAAATTAATTGAAATACGTGTAAATTGATTCGTAAATTTAAAAAAAAAAGAGATCTATCCAAGTCGAAGTTTATGTGACAATCACAATGACCATAACCAAGTAACAACTGAGGAGACTTTCTTTTCCCAATTGGGTTGAAAAAAGGTATGATGCTTCTGCTTAATAGACTTGCCAACAGCTAAATTTGAAAATAGGCAGTGTGTGAAGTGAAGGATGGTCATATCTGGTGGAACCCACTCTGGATCTGCTCTTATATTATTGTCAAGCAAAGTTTGAAAACACAGCAATGGAATTTGAGATTTCTGGCAGTTGCTTTGTACTATAACTTAAGATTTTGTTTGATCAGTCTCTTTGGGAGGATTCATTATCATGGTTGGGATCTAAGTCTTAGTCACATAGTTCTTCAAAATAGCCGACGCTCTAGTAATTCGCGTGTAAATTTGAGTTTTGATATTGAATTCTCCGTTAATTTGAACTCTCATTTTACAAAATTTGTAAATTCAAAATTTTAATTCATAAATTCGTGCTCTTACTTTGGGTTTAAATATAATGTTTTCAAAATTCAAAACATTATATATAAAAATTATAATGTTTCACATAGTTGTGCATAAAATTTAATTTTTTTTTAACTTTTATGGGTGAAAGTTTGTCTTCAATATATAATATGATAATCTCAAGCCGCTCTTATTTTCAAATATTTTCGAATTTTGTTGTTTTTATGCTCCCACTCTCGCTCACGCCTCCGTGCTCACTCTATGTGATCTAGGTTTAGCTATTTGTTGAACATTCCAATTGGCTGTGGGACATATTGGTCCAATGTTTTGGGTAAGTGGCTTTGGGTTTGGGCCATTGTTAAATTCCAACCTATGACTGCCAAAAGCTGCTTACACTATGGTAGCCTGCCGGTGTGCATATACTGTCAACAAGTTTGGTCTCCCTGGAAATAATTGATATTTTATTCTTTTGATACTAATTAAAAGTGTTAATCGTTTCAATTTTATATCATTCGTGTTTGACACTAACCTGATCTATTTAGTATTTTGTTAATAGGTCGTGTCATTTACGGATTCGTGTCGAGAAATCATTAATCTTAACCCGTTAATTTCGTATCGATTTCGAATTTTATTTTTCCTGTTGTGTCAAAAATCCTTGCGAAATAGGATTGGGAGATGTGAATTCTATTCTTATTGCAAACAATAGGCAAAGCACCGGGTTGGTAGTTTAGTGACTTGTGGTGCTCCGTTTAGTGTATTTCCTAACTCTCATGAGATTAACAAGCGGTGAACTCTCGATGCTCCCATTGGCAACTCTGTGGTGCAGGGTTAAACTATGACTCGAGCCTACGATTTTGAGCTGCCTAGGCTCCATAAGTGAACTTCCCTCGTAGGCTGCCCAGACATGAGTTTCACTCTGTTTGACCCCCCAACAGAAAAGAACAAAAAAAACAATACCCAAAGTAATCAGACACACAGACTTAAGAGAACAGGGATATGAGTTCAGTCCATTTTCAGCCCACAATTATATATTGGCCCAGAGGGGTAATGGGCCTGATTCTGCCAATATAGATGTTTGGAATGGGCCATAGAGCTTTCGTGGTCTTTAGAAAATCCTTTTTATTAGCCCATTTGTTTTGGTTCGCAACTCCCAAGTACTTCCATTTGGAGTGAAAATCATATCAAATACAGTTTTGTTCCATTTTCCTTCTTCGTAAATTACCTACCTTGAATTTAAGTGAAATTTATTATATATAAAGAGAAAACTCACTAATAATCTACCGAAGAGAAATTGAGGGAAAAGGCATTAGAAAGGATCTAAATTCATTTCATTTGGGTTCATTACCGGAAGACAAGTTGAAATATAATCGCGAGAATCAACATGAAAAAAATCTTGAGCATTTCAATTGGAACAACATAGCAATTGAAATTGATAGTGTTCGGCTACTATTATAATCCATCCAAGTTAATAGTAATGATTAGTTTACCTATAAGAAAACTTTGTATATATCGTGTTTTTTCCTATTTTTTTACACAACTAAACTCATACTCGGAGAAAAGAGGAGAGTTACATGAAATAAGTTGGGATAATTCTTTCTTTACATAATTGGGTATAATTAGCAGACCTTAACTTCATTACCAAGCATATAGTTTCCACTCTATTCCATGAATTTCATGTTTTAGGCTCTAGGATATACTAGCCAGACATGGTAACCCTAAAGAGATGGCCTCAAGAAAGAGGAACAATGTGGAAGCAATACACAAATATGTTGTTTGGATGGTTGGGTGTGGAAGTAAATTCAAGATTTCAACTAGAATGATGGCAATTGGCAACCCATATCCAT